TCATTACGTGTTTAATTTTAGGTATCTTTCTATAAACAACACTTTGTGGATTTTTTTTTAACCTACTTTGAAAATGCCAAATATTGTGTGGCTACTTTTAAATTATTCCTGCCATATAATTACAATTTTAATTCCAGGTTGTTACTAAAAACAAAAAAATCAGGAATTTCAGTGTTGTGTAAAATACAAACTGCTGTGATCATAGGGAATTGACTCGTGGTGTGGTGTGTGGGTTACCAGCCAAGGCGCACAGGGAGCCTTTTGGAAGTGATGGACGTGTTCTTTATTGTAGTGGTGGGTTCACAGGTCATAGAGTAGTTTCCTGTATGATAAAATTATTAGAATCCTAAATAGAGTTCAGTTGCGTTTTTGTAGCCACTGATAGAACCTGCGTGGGCAGTAGGAGCCTCCCGGGTTGGTTGATGGTGGCCAGGGCACCTCTGCGGTGGGGCCATTCTGCAGAGGGCGGAGCCTTGAGGCTGTCGGTCCCTGCCACACTGAAGCGTGCCCCAGGGGGACGGAAACGGGCAGGACAGGCCCTTCTCCTCCTGGATAACACAGGGTGAACCTTGGCCAGGTTTCTTGTTGCTTGGTTTCTGTAAAAGAAAGTTCATGAACATCATCAAATGAGTTCATCAGATCTCGTTTGTTAGGACACTTTTTGAGTAAAGTTCAAATTGATTGGGTTAAACTTTAAAGCTTAAATTTGTAAAACTTAATTGCAGTAGCGTTTCAAAAATCATTTCTAGTTGTTTATGGTTGGCCTTTTTCTCCTATTAGTAGTTTTTTTAATTAAAATTTTATACTTAAAGTGAACCTTGTCTTTCTCAAATAGTTTCTACTTTTCACTGTAATAGTTTATTTTTAATTTTATTTTATTTTACTTTAATTTTATTTTTAGTTTTTTTATTTTATTTTTTGGTACCTGGAATTGAACTCAGGACCTTGTACTTGCCAGGCACGCGCTTATGCCACTGAGCTATCTCCCCGGCCCTGGAATTTATGCTCTACTGAGCTGAACCCCCAGCCCTTATTTACTATTTTAAAATTAAATTTATTGGTACCACTTAGATATACATAGTGACCATACTCATCATCGGGGCTTCATATCTGTAAATCTTGAGTCCTCTTTTTTCCCCCAGTCCCTCCCCTCCGCATTTACAAAGCTTTGTTCCCATTTCATCCTTGTCATTGTTTTTTTCCCTTCCTTCCTTCCTTCCCCTCTCCCCTGCTTCTCATTTCTTTTGAACACTTTCTTCCTATGTCTTGATGCCTGTTATACACTTCGGTCCTTATTTAACACTGTTTCTCACACCAGAGAAACAGTGATATTTACATGTGTGTCTGATTTATTTCACTTAAAAAGTATGGTCTCCAGGCCAGGAGTATAGCTCAGAGGCACAGCGCCTGCCTGGCAAGCACAGGTCCTGAGTTTGATTCCTGGGACCAGAAAAAAAAGTGTCTCAAGGTGCATTCATTTACCTAGAAATGTCTCAAACGTATCCTTCTTTATGACTGAGTAGTACTCCATTGTAAAAAAAAAAAAAAAAACCCTCATCTTTTTTTATCCATTCTTCGGTTGATAAGCATGTGGGTTGTTTCCAGGATTTAGCAATTACAAACTGCTGCTGTAAACATGAGTGTGCATATATCGCTGTGGTACGATGTTTTTAATTCTTTTGGGAAGAAGATACCCAGAAAAGGAATAGCTGGGTCAGGTGGGACCTCCAATTCTAGTTTTTTGAGGAATTAGCACACTGATTTCCACAGTGGTTGCACCAGGATACACTCCCACCAACAGTGGAGAAGATTCCTTCCCCACCCCCCCACTCCCCCGCAGCCTCTCCAGCATTTGTTGTTGGTTGGTTGCTTGATAATAGCCATTCTTTCTGGGGTGAGATTTTCAGCATTGCTTTAATTTGCGTCTCTCAAATGGTTGGTGATGTTGAACATTTTCCCATGTGTTTGTGTGGCATTTGTACTACTCCTTCCAAGAAGTGTCTGTTCATTTCAGATGCCCATTTTTGGACTGGGCCTTTAAATTTGGGGCCCTGATTCGTTTTCAATTCTTTGTATGTTCTAGATATTAGGCCTCCGTCAGAGTCAAAGCCAGTGCAAGTCCAGAGCATAGACGTAAAAGAAATGAGAAGGCACACCCTAGAACTTTCTGAGGAGTTTTGTTTTTAATGCTGTCAAATCTCTCTTGACTTTGATTTTCCTTTCTACAGCGTGAATAATTAGCTAGATGCTGCTGTTACTCCTTTTCACATAGGGGAGTGGGGACCAGGGCTTTGCCTGAGGCTGCACAGCCCGAAAGTGGCCGGTCAGGATTTGAGCTGAGCCTGACCCTGGCATGCTTGTTTATAGAGCCAGCTGTCCTGCCACCCACCCGCTGGACTCCTGTCTCTGTCTTTCATCAGAAATAAGAGAGGAAAGGATTTGAATATTGGTGTTTTCCAAGATGAGACATCAGGAGAGGGGAAGGGATCAGAGCCCCTGTGGAGGGGCTGGAATTTTAAGTCATTTGACAGCTCCTTCTTCCTCTCCCCGCCCCCTTTTTCTTCTTCCTTCTTCCCCCTTGTCTTCCTCCTCTTCTTTCTGCTTCCTCTTTTATTACTTTTTTTCATCACCATAAGAGTTTGAACCCAAGATCTCCTAAGCCACACACCACCATCCTTTAAAAAAAATTCCTTTTAAATTTCGAGACAAGGTCTCACTAAGTTGTCTAGGCTAGCCTTCAGCTTAGAATCCTGCTGCCTCAGTCTCCCAAATAGCTGGAGTTACAGGCATGGCAACTGTTGTGTGTGTCCTCAGATCTCAAGAGTGAAAATAAAGAAGTAACATTTGTCATGTTCCTATATGGTAAGAGTGACGGTATGACAGAAAAATGCAGATGACAGCATTAAACTGGTGTGTGAATGACCAGTGATTCTTTTGACCTCTGACTTTTTAAAATACTGATGTTGGGCTGGGGATTTAGCTCAGCGGCAAAAGCGCCTGCCTGGCAAGTGCAAGGTCGTGAGTTCGGTTCCCGGTACCGGAGAAAACCAAAAAAAAAATAAAATAAAATAAAATACTGATGTTTTGAACTAGAGGTGTAGATCAGTGATGGAGTACTTGCTTACTACCATGCCCAAGGCCCTGGGTTCAATCCCCAGCACTGCAAACAAAACAAAACTCAGAACCCCACAAACCTGATATTCTTAAGAGTTAAAGTCCTTTTTTTTTTAAGTACTGGGGATTGAATCCAGGGCCTTTGCCCTGAGCTACCACCTTAGCCCTTTCTAAAAATGTTTTTGATAGCCAGGAATGATGGCATACACCTGTAATCACAGCACTCAGGAGGCTGAGGCAAGAGGATTGCTTTGATTTCAAGGCCAACATGGACTACATACCCAAACCTGTCTCCACACAAAGTTCATTTTTGAGACAGGCTGTCACTGAGTTTCCCAGCCTGGGCTCAAGTCCACCTTCCTCAGCCCCCCAGCGTGCTGGGATTGTAGGTGTGTTGGGATTGTGCCCAGCTCAAATTAGTTTCTTTAGTTGGGTAATGACGTACTGAAGTTTTTTACAGTTTTAAACGAGGGGACATTGATGACATGATAGCATGGTACTGTTTATTGTTTCCTACGCAGCAGGCATGGCACAGAAGACAGGTGCAATACACAGAATACCCATTTCTAACCCAGAGGTCCGCAGATAAGAGCTGCACTGCAGAGTTAAGCCCATCGCCAGACTGCATTTAGTTACTGACTCCACTGCAGATTTACCCCTAGACAAGAGCAGCAGTTCAGTGTTTTAACTTCTGGGTTTTTCTTTTTTTGAGGTTTTTTCTCAGGCAAGAAGACAGTGTTCAATTGAAAAAGTCTCACTACGCTTTTGAATGGTCTTTCATTTGATATTAGTTGTATTGTACTATTTCTTTTGTTCTTGTGGGTTTGGTTTTGTTTTTGAGGCAGGAGCTCCCATGTAGTCCAGGCCGGCCTTGAACTCACTGTGATGTGCAGGCTGCCCTCAACCTCCCAAGTGCTAGGATTACAGCCATGTGCCGCCGCACTTAGTTTCAATTTTTAAGTATTGGCTTTGGATCTTGGCAAACAAAATTTTTCAAGTAGGGGAAGCTGCCTTCAAAGCTGGAAACAACTTGTTTACTTACAACTAGTGGCTACTGGTATGTAGCAGCAGATTAGGAAATGGCGGCTGTTTGGTTTGTTTGCAGTACTAGGAGATGAACCCAGGACCGCACATGCTAGGCAAGCATCCTACCACTGAGGTACATTCCCAGCCCTTTTTAATGTTACCGTGAGACAGGGTCTTGCCAAGATACCCAGGCTGACCTGGAATTTATGCTGTACTGCCTCAGCTTCCTGAGTAGCTGAGATTAGGCTTAGATACAGCTTGCTCATCATGTCTGCTCTATACTGGGTTTGAAACTTTTATAAATTTCATTTATGTTATTTTTCTTGGAAATTTAAAATCAAAACTTTGAAAATGATGTGAAAAGAATGTATCTTAAGTTTAATATGTAGTGCATGGGTCAGTAAACTGTTACGGTACCATGGAAGTGAAGTTTTATAAATGAAGTGTAACTGTCGTGCGGCCACGCTAGTGAGTTCCTATACAGTGGCACCTCAGTTCACGAACACTTTGGTTTGTGAACGGTTTGGTTCGCCAACCAAACCTTTCGGCAGAATTTTGTTTTTGTTTGCAAACTCTACATTGGGTGATGAGCATGACCACAGCCGCCTCTCCCACACAGACAGACGTGCCCATCTTTTCCAGAATGGTGGGACAAGTGAACCAAAGTACCACCGTATCTGTCTGTCCTGCTCTTCTGTATAGAGAGTTTTATCCGTATTTTCTGTACTCACCTATGCCTGAAAGAATTGTCTTTTTCTCATTAAAACGGTGTTGAGGCTGTGTTACTTCATTTCCCTCTGTAGCAAGTGAACCACTCCTTTGAGACTGGTCTTTTCTTTTTCCGCAGCGCAATTGAAGTATGAGGTAGGGAAGTGATGCTGTCGAAGGTGACATCCTGTCCTGCTCTCTCTCTTCTGTCTTCTTGCTCCCTCTCTTGGCTTCCTGGTAATTGGGGAGGGGTGATCTACTTAAATAAAAAGAAACTGCTTTATTTCCCCTTCTTGAAAAAGTGGGTAGGGAATGGTTTCCTGGTGTATAGTTGAAATAAAACTTACCTAACTTTTAGCATAATCTGTTTTGGGGTCATGGAGTTGTTGAAAATCAGAAGATAATTGTATAGTCATTCAGCATGAAGAAAAATGAATATGTTCAAGAATATATTATTGTAGAAATCCTAGAAGGCCTCTGAGGTACTCCCTGGGGACCAGTGTTAGGGATCCACTTAGAATTTCTGACAAAACAGTAGGTTATAAAGACTGGGAAATAAAGCTGATATGATTGCAACCTTGGTATTGAGTATTCTTCAGTTTTGCTATACCTAGGAGTTTGTTTAATATCTTTGATCAATTTTTAAGCATTTCAATATAAATGAATGGCTGTAACAAAATATTCTGAAATTTAATCTTGATTTTGCTAACTTCTGATGTTACCTCAGAATGTCGGTGAGGAAAATTGATGGTAGGTGTGTTCCAAAAATGAACCAATGGCTTGGGCCAGATCTAAGCCTTTCATGTTACAAGGGAAGAAATAAGCCCTTGATGTTGCAATGTATCTGCCAGATCTTGCTTTTACCTAGCAGTGGAGCGTCTCACTCACTCTTCACTTTTGCATGAGCCCTTCCACTTGACTAGTGTCTCCTAGACTTTATTTATTGAGTATCATCTTGTGATTTTTGCCTTCTTTGCACATTTCCTGGTGGTTATTCTTTAAATCAACTCACTTTTTAAAACTTAAGTTTATACAGTTACTGTGAAATATGGATTTAATGTACAAATTTTTTTCCGTCTGTCACTTAAATGTGCAGCTATATTGGGGGATGTTCCACTTAAAATAATTCTTCCTCTTTTTAGAGGACATCATTTTGGGAAACACTTCCCTACATGGTGGAATTTTAAAGCTCTGACTTTGAACTAGAGTGAAAATGATAGAAGCTACTTTAACTTGGAAGTACCAGAAAAAAAGGAGGGCTCATGGGATGAGTGGGTGCTGCCTGCTGAAATACCCTTTGCTTGGGCAGATTCTCCTGTCCTGACTGTGAGAGTACTTGGCTGTGTGCACGGCGGAGCTTGAGCTTGCTGTCTGACCTGGCCAGGCGTGTGTGCGTGCATGTTTCCACGTGTGACGGGTCTTCATTTCCTTCACAGGTTTGATCTTACTCTTCTACCTGGTGTTCTATGGGTTCCTGGCTGCACTCTTCTCATTCACCATGTGGGTGATGCTTCAGACTCTGAACGACGAGGTCCCCAAATACCGCGATCAGATCCCCAGTCCAGGTAATGACGCTGCCGTTACCACGACAGTTAGCAGAGTTGGGTTATAGTTTACCTTCGTTAATCTGGTTTATTATACCAGATAGAAAATAGCTAAACCTTAGGGTTGGGTAATGTGAACAATTTGATTTCTATTGTTTAATATTTACATACTGATTTAGGGACCTTCACAATCATTTACTGATAAATCTTGATTCCTTCGTCAGGAATAAGCAAAAATGAATATTGAGAATGTATTTAAGTTACATTTTACCCTCCTGGTGTTATTTTGAAGCAGGTGTTGAATGCTAGCACTCCCTTGATTGTGGACCATATAGCCCTTGTGAAGGTGTGACAGTTTTCGCTTTGCCATGCTGGCAGTGGAACCCAGTGATTCTTGCGTGCCAGGCAGATGCTCTGCTATTGTGCTGCACCTCTAGGTCCCTGTGGGCGAATTTTAGAAAGCAATAATGTGTTCAATCTCAGCATATCATTCTCTAGAATGTAAACAGCTGGTGGAGGATTTTTTTTTATTATTTTTTTGTTTTGTTTTGTTTTTTTTCCGGTACCTGGAATCAAACTCACAACCTTGCACTTGGCAGGCAGGTGCTGTGCCGCTGAGCTAAATCCCCAGCCCCTGGTAGTTTTTTTTAGAGATAGTGCTAGAACACTTACCTAGTATGCGAGAGGCCTGGGTTTGATCACGAGCCCGAGAAAGCCATGGGAGGTGGAGAGAGGAAGGGATGGAGGTGGGGGTCGGGGGTTGAGGACAGAGGACAGAGGAGCAGTGCTGACTGTAGAGAAGGGAAGACTGCCTGGAGGAGTGGGATTTGCACAGCAAGGAGAGCACTCCAGCGGGCTAAGAAGATGAAGTGCAGCGAGTCTCTCTAGTGCAGTGGCTTTTCAGCCGCTGCTCCTCTGTCCTGTGGAGATGTTTGGGTTTTAGAACTCGGGAGGGGCTGTGCAAGAGGCCAGGGATGCGGCTGAACCTCGCACAGTGGGCAGGACCCCCTCACAGAGCTCCCAGCCCAGGGCTAAAGAATCCTCATCTGGATCGCACCCCAACTATTATTGCCTACAACAGTTAGAATGGTTCCCTTGTTTATAGCCAGTATTTGTCTGAGCATGCTGAGTAAGTCTTTGCTCTTAGTTTATTTGACCAAGTACAGAATTGGAGACTGACTAACTCTGCGTTCATTTTCCCTTCCTCTGTCACTGTGGCCCTGGTTTTTTATCTGGACTATCAAAGATAATTTTATTTTTTTGCTAAGTCATGTGATTATTACCTTTGACCATAGTGTGATCTATTTCAGAAAAGCTAAACTCCTTATAATTCCATGAATTATATATACAATAAAATGTGTCCACTATTTTTCTGTTTCTAAGCAGATTTTCTGGGTACATTTTAGATAGACATAATGATCACATTCATCATAGAGAATTTGTACCTGTACGTGATATAACTTGATTCTTTTCCCCACCTCCCTTCAACCTCTCCTCCCCTTCCCATTTACAAAAGCTTTGTTTCCATTTTTTTCCTCAATTTTTTTAACTTCTCCTTTCTTTCCCTCCCCGTCACCCCTGGTTTTTTTTGTTTTTCTTTGGAGACAGGGTCTCACTATGCAGTTCAGGCTGGTCTTGAGCTCACTTTGTAGCCCAGGCTGGCCTCGAACTTGCAATGATCCTCCTGCCTCAGCCTTCTGAGTGCTGGGATTACAGGCGTGTGCCACCATACCCAGCTTCCTCCCTCTCTTGTACCCCTCCCCATTTGAACATTTTCTTCCTATTCACAATACCTAATGTACATTTTGATCCTTATTCACACTTCCAGTTTCTCACACCAGAAAAACAATGTGGTATTTACACATTAGTCTGATTTATTTCATTAAGCATATGGTCTCAAGGTGCATCCATTTACCTAGGAATATCTTATGTTTATCCTTCTTTATGACAGAGTAGTACTCCATTGTATAACAAACCCCACCCTCTATCCATTCTTCGGTTGATGGGCGTTTGTTCACTATTTTTAAGTACAGTGGTAAGCTGAGTTTCTTAAAATTATTTATCAAGCATATTATACTTACAGTGTAAATAAATAGTGTGCACACATGCATATATAGTACAGTTTTAGATATGAGGGATGTTGGTAATATTAAACTTGAAAGCTTGATTTCTAACAGATAAATGTGTGTTTCCTTTTCAAGAATAACATTTTCTGTATACAGAGGTGTCAACTAGTGATGAGAAGTTACTAATGGCTTCACTCCAAATGAAGTATGTCAAAAACGCATTTTAATGATAGAGCAACATTTACTATTAAAAGAATATGTACTATTGGTTTTAATTGAAAAAGGCAAGCTATCTTATGTTTCCATATAATTGTAATTTGAATGAGAAAGGTGCTTAGACTGATTTGCTAAAATTTTTCTCAGTACCTTACTTCAAATTGGCAAAACCAGCCAGGTGTGGTGGCACAAACCTGTAATCCCAGCACTTGCGAGGCTTAGGAAGGGGGAATCGCTCTGAGTTCGAGGCCAGTCTGTACTACATAGAGAGACCCTGTCTTGGGGCTGGGGATTTAGCTCAGTGGCAAAAGCGCCTGCCTGGCAAGCGCAAGGTTGTGAGTTCGGTTCCCGGTACCGGAAAAAAACCAAAAAAAAAAAAAAGACCCTGTCTCAAAAAAAAAGGCAAAACCTAAAAATATTACTTGGTTGAAAATGAGTATAGAAAGTGCAAAGCAAGTCACATATTTTTAAATAAGGAATAGCAATTATAGTTTGCTGAAATAATCAAATTTAGGGGACGTTTCTGTCTTAGTCACTTTTCTCCTTGCTGGGACAAAACACTTGATACCCAAAACGTAAAGAAGGAGAGGTTTATTTTGGCTCACGTTTCGGTCCGTAGTTGGCCGGTGCCAAGGAGAACAGCGGGGCAGAGGAACAGCTGCTCCCCTTGTGGCAGACAGGAAGCAGAGGGTGAGGGAGGCGCTGAGCCGGGCGGGGAGGTAGAACCTGCCAGGTCCTGCCCCAGTGACCCACCTCTTCCAGCGAGGCCCCGGCCTGACACAGCAAGGCGGCTGTACCGTCCCATGGTCCCGTCACCTTCCACAAGTGCTGCCTGCCGCCTGTGACCGCGGGGGGCTTTCAGGGGGCTCCTGATATCCACCGTAACTGTTTCGAAGTGGTATCATCTGAGATGGTTTTGAAGATTTGAAGTGAAGTTTGGATGTCTTTACTTTCATACTTGGGTAGAAGTAGGAAGTTGTTGATAACTTTCACAGACCTGTGAGTACAGTTTCCCATCTTATTTACTGAGACCTGCATTGTAGGGTTAAGAGTAAGGAGAGTGGGGCATTTGATATAATTTCTCCTTTTCTTTTATGTTTTCAGGACTTATGGTTTTCCCAAAGCCAGTGACTGCATTGGAGTACACATTTAGTGTGTCTGATCCACGTTCCTATGAAGGGTACATTAAAGACCTTAAGAACTTTCTAAAATGTAAGTATATTTTCTTAGAGTAAAATAAAAGATTTTAATTCTGGAACCTAGCACCAAGTTATAATTAGCTGTAAGAATATTCTAATTTATGAGAAAGTACACGAGGCATAAGGCAAATGGAAAGTCAGTTTGTTTCTTTTAATTTATGCTTTAAATATACTATGTTTGCTGACACATAACATTTATGTCTGCATTAAAATGGAAAGTGACTGGGTATGGTGGCAAACACTTGGGATCCCAAAGTGTAAGGTAGGCTGAGGCAGGAGAATCATGAGCTGGAGGCCAGGCTAGACTGCCTTGTCTCTTCAGAGTGGCACAAAATACCTGAAAGGGTGTTGAACCTGATAGAACCAGTCTGTATTATAGAAAATCATACCTTAGAGCTTTTGTTTTTGTTTGTTTTTCATTGGTGGAGATGGAAACTAAGTAAGGCACTTGGTAGACAGAGTCAGTATTGGATCTTTTGCAGTCATTGCAATAGCCGTATGGGGGTGGGGACATACATTATTTTAAAAGTGTGTCAGATTTTTTCTTTTTCTTTGTTTTTCTCCGGTACCAGGAATCGAACCCATGACCTTGCGCTTGCCAGGCGGGCGCTGAGCCGCTGAGCTAAGTCCCGGCCCCTCTGTGTGTCAGATTTTTAGTGTGCCGCGTAGTGCTCGTTAGTAGCCACCTTGCCCAAAGTTTTCTCCTGTTTTTCCTAGCGTCGCTGCGCCTGTGAAGGGTGCTAACGATCACGTGACTCACCGTCGCCCGCCCTGACCTGCTCCTAGTCATCCTCTCCTCAGCCACACACTCCTGCAGTCAGTTGTTGGTAGGACAGCGCGGCCCCTTCGTCAGAATCGCTGACTGCGCACGCTTTCCAACACCTCCCTCAGCCCCTGGCTTGCCCGCTCAACTTTACCTCGGCTCCCACCCCAGAGTCTGAGACTGTTTGTGCATACATTTCCATTAGGAAATAACCTTATGCTTGGGACTGACTTCGGTGTTTTCCTTCCGTAAATACTGTATTTTTCTGCAGCTTATTGATTTACCATTTTTTAAATCAGTGTTACTCATCACTTAATTACTGATTTACCACGTTTATACACTGTTTTTGCGTAGCGCAGCCTTGACCCTTCGCCCTTCTCAATTGTTAGTTTCTTCCTTTGGCTGCTACTGTATATGTAGATAGTATTGTATCACCTGTAGGCCTTGTCTTCTGACTCGCTGACCTGTAAACTGTCACTTGACGTTTCCTCAAGTCTCTCCCTTCTGGAAATCTCCGTCCTGGAGCCCTGCCCCTCTTGTGGTTTCTAACACTTGCGTGTGTTTGTTGCTGGGGATCGAACACAGGGCACCAAGCTGCACGTCCAGCCTTTTTATTTTTATTTTGAAACAGATCTCAGTAAGTTGGCCAGGCTGAGCTGGAATTTGAGCTCCTCCTTTCTCAGCCTCCCAGAGTGCTGGGATTGCAGGCGTGCACCGCCACACCCAGCTTATGCTGTCCTCCATTTACTGCACTTTTGCTTGTGGTGGTGGTTGGTGGGTGTTTTTGGATTTTGTTCTGTACTGTAATTTTGGTGCTCGGGATGGAAGCCGGGGCCTTGCGTGCTGAGCAGCTGCTCCATCACTGAAGCACACCCCGGCCCTTTCCAAGCTTGTTTATATGTTTGGGTTTTTGTTGGTCGGTTTGTTCCTTGCTGGGCTTCCAGCCCAAACCTTGACGTGCTAGGTAAGTATGGTACCACTGAACTACACCCCCAACCTCAGCCCCAGTTGGATGGGAGTACATTCTCGAGTAACTGTAAGAAAGGTTACATGAAATGTAAATTCGGATCCATTTATTTCTGAAAAGTACTCAAGTCTCCCTTTGTAGTTGAGGTTAGCTGTATATAAAATTCTAGTTCTTTGGAGTTTGTCTTTTTCCCTTTCTGCAGGGTTTTTTGTTTTGTTTTTTAATTTGTCTCTTTAGGGTTCTAAAATTTCTTTCTCTGTATTTCACTCAAATATTTTGCTGTTGCTTGAATGGAAATCGTTCAGACTTGAATTCTTTAGTTTAAGGTAATTATCTTCTGTTAGAACTTCAATAATTTCCTCAATTTTCTGTTTCTCACTGGAAATGTTCAGTGTTTCCTTATTTTCTGTCTTTACTTAATTAATATAAT